AGTGAATTTTGTGTTGTTCTTTTTTTCCGCTCGGTTCTTGGCTGTGTGACTATGACAATGCCTGATAAGAACATAATTGGATGTACGAAACCATATGACCATACTATCACCTATATTCTCGTTTACGTCCGGACAGTATGTTAAACGAGAATATGGGCGTATTGCGGAAATGCAAATCTCTTAGCTTTCCACCTTCTAAACGCAGAACATGTTTATTAGAGTAGATTGGGGTAAGAGGGGCATAGTGAGCATCCCGTGCACCAGCTTGAACTTCCGGCCGTTCGGAACAAATTGGTTAGTGGTAGGATCAATATAATAGTGATATTGAACCTACTACCAGTTGATTTGTTTCATGCAGCTGGAGATCCAAAGCCAAAGTGTGGGATGCTCACTATGCCCCACCTGTTCACTATGTCCCTCCTTCCCCTAATAAACCATAAATGCCACTGGACACAGTGTAAGCAACATAGCCAGAATTATTTAAACGAATGGATTTAGTTTTCGTTGTTTTCCTACGTATAATTAAAACAAGTAAAACGTTGTGTTCAATGTGATATAATAATTGCATTAATTTTTCAAAATAAACATTATAGTAGTTTATTCAAAAGGAGAGTCAAAACGGCCATTCCCATTCAACACCCGGTAGATCGACAAACTTTTCATTCTGCATTTGCTCAGGTCTGCACGTTTTCACGGCAACAGTTCCTCGATACTGCAAAAACAAAATCGTAGTCAGATGATTCGCTGCTAGGTAGGTCCACGGTACGAGAGGGAGAGAGAAAAATAGAAAAGTACTAGTTGCCCCTCTCATGCCATGGCAAATTTTTGCTCGGGTCAGCTAATGCACGCTCATATCCGAATACATACACCAATATTCATAATCGCAGGATCTTTGTGCACCGAGAGGGTATATGTGAGCTTTGAGTTTAGTCGATTGGTAAACACCGTTCAACTTGTACTGAAAATATTATTCTTTGTAACCAGCTCTTGAAGCATATCTACAAGCTGAATCGCTGAAAAATATAAATTAAATAATACTAATTTAAACACATAATAAAAATACTTAACACTCCTATTTGTATAAATACAAGACGACCGACAACAACAAACACATGCACTAGCAACCGGTCATCAAAAAATAAGTGTTACTTCGATGGAAATTTATAGCCATGGTTTAAAATACTTAAAAATACTTAAGAATACTTACGCGAGATTTACAAATATTTTACTGATATTAGGCATGAAGTTTAGAGTGGGATGCCCCTAGTATGTTCATGTTAATCCCTTACTTGTTTGCATTTTTTGTATATTTGATTGAAATTTAGAGAATATTTTGAAACTCATACTTCGAATCTAATCAATATGGGCCCGGATCCTAAATCTGACAGGACGGAAATTAGGTCAGAAACGTTGTATGTTTACAGTAAATTTTCAAACAAAGATAGCATAGCATAGCATAGCATCCCACATAAACGCGAACCATAAATTGACCTTACCTAAAATGGTTAAAAATTGTTTATAATCCCTGCTAAACTTTAACTGAAATGGTTATGGAACTTTACATGAACGTTTAATGATAAAGTTTCAACCTTATGTATTATGGTTTTTTGGAACTGGACCTTACAAATAATGGGTTGTTAAGAACCATTACCATTCCAAATTCTTGTTTTCTCCATACATTTTCAGAAAGAGAACTATATAAGAACATTTTTACTTATGATTTGAGAACATTAATGATAATGGTTGTGGTAGTCAGTAAGGTCCATTAATGGTTTTGTATTATCACTCAACTTTACGTGGAATATATCGTGAATAGGTAATCAGTAAATTACAGTCTCGGAGTTAGTGCCAATAGACTGAGTGAATCCAATCTTTACTTTTCTCAAATTCAGGAATTTTTCCCTGGAAAATCCTGGAAAAACCTGGGAAAACATGACTCATCGCTGAGTTCCTGCACTTTCCTAATAAAAATTGTATGGTTAATTTGCTTAACGACGTGTTCTGGGTATCATCCAAACCATTTGTGGAATAGTTCAATGATTTGGGTTATCGTTCGTTTATGGTTATTTTTTATTAGGGTTTATTTCTTATTTCTGAGATAACTAAACTCAAATTTGGGTCGATCTCATTCGCTGTGATATCACCTTGAAAGATATCGGCGCCGGTAGTCAGCGTGATTACCTCTCACCCCAGCAGGCCTGGATCCAATCTCAGTCGGCGCCACCGGCATGTTCTAAGGCATAACATCTCTGATCACGTCTTCCTTCGGGAAGTAAAGCCGTTGGTCCCCGGTTGAGTTTATGGGTCAATTGGTAGGGTGGGAGCTGCCTCCCTGGCGTCGGTAACATTGGAGCTCAGTACGGAAAACAAATCTCGCGTCACTTTTCAATAGGCCCTATCTACATTGATCGATTCTCTTCATCGACACTCTCTTTCGTAAATAACTCGGCTTCACAAATACTTCCTGCCGTCTTCGTCGAATTAGATGCTAGATTGTTACTTCTTGCATCGAAAATATCCGGCCGTGGCGATTCAAAGTTGATCAAGGTTGATCAAAATAATTTGTACCCCTGCTTCCAGTTTGATTACATGAGCATTTTGTGTGATCGTTGGTTCTGAATAAGGACAAACAGGCAGATGAATTCTATTCCTACTCTTTACTGTAATAAGCTTGGTGGCTTTGAAAAGAGCCGTTTTGTTGCCAAAGTTGGTGATGATTTAACCTCCGAAACCAAACAGAGTGCGTCTGTCACTTCAAATCGTAGATGATAACCATGGCCGCTTACGCTTGGAGTGTTTAGTGCAGGTGACAGCATCACGGATCTCATTTTTCAGGAACACCTTCAGCACACCTCGTAAATCAGACCGGAGATACGTCAGACATCGCCACGGCGAGCCAGACGACGGATGGTAGTTATCTCGAAAAATTTGCGTTTGGTTCTGAATATGGCGATGAGTGTGCAAAATATTACGCAATTCCATCCTCCCTATTCGCACGCACCCGAGGATCGGTGGTGAATGCCACTTCGACTTGTTTCGTCTACTTACTACTCTCTGACGACTGTGCTGGGGAAGCAGCATATGCATGTAGGTAATTGGAGGATTTGTTAGTTAATTCGACGCTTTTGGACAATGCTGGACATTTACCAGTTTTTCTATTGTTTCTTGTTGAAAATCAACATTCGGAAGCGTTGTTATCGATGCGTAGCCATATTTCTGATCGATTGGTGATAAAATTATTGAAATTGGATCAGGGGCAGCTGAGTTATTAACGTTCAAAATCTTTCTTAGTTTGTTACATGTTCCATTTTCGGTTTTCACAAAGTGTACCCCCATATAGAAATCAAAGACGTAGCCCTACGTCAAAATTAAGTCAACAAAACAAGCATCGCATTATACATCTGGCCATATCCTTTCAATCGCAGGGGAAGGAAGGGAAAGCTAATCCAACATCTACTTAAGAAAGTGCAGGTGCAAGAAGTTGTGTTAGTGGGAGGGTGAATGATTAGGAAACTCTATTCGTCAATATAGAGCATTTGATAAATCATTAATAAAAATGAAATATAAATAGATTAAATGTAAAGATCTCACCCGAAAGGCCTAGTGACTTTGCAGTGTCATGTTTTCGGAAATGCTTTATTTAATTTTTCGTGAAACACCGCAATCACTGATAACGCTCTTCTACTTATCCCTTTGTTCGTACGCACAAAAAATTGCACTCCACGCATAATCAAGGTCATAGGGGAAATGTACCTAATGTTGGCCAATGGATCTAAGATTAGTGGCGCCGGTGGTGTAGTGGTAAGCGTGATTACCCCTCAATCCCAGTCGATGCCGCCGGGATGTTCTGAGGCATAACATCTCTGATCACGCCCTCCTTCGGAAGGGAAGTAAAGCCGTTGGTCCCCGGTTCATGAGTTGCTGGGTCAATAGGTAGAGTCTAGGTGTGGGAGCTGCCTCCCTGGCGTCGGTAGCATTGGTGCTCAGCACGGAAAATAAGATCGACGCAAAACAAATCGATGAAAAAAAAAAATCTAAGATTGGGTCCATCGCTAAAAGTTTGCTATTTATCAATTTTATCTAGATGAATGGATATGGATATTTTTGGTCGCTATTGAAAATTTAGTCGATTTCTGAATTTATGTATGGGTCCAAATTAGGGGAATTTAGGCCGACATTACATCCATTTCCCCTGTATAAATTAATCAAAAGGTGCAAATCTAGACACTACAAGAATAATCTTGATTTCGGCTTCTATTGTTATAAGAAAAAGTATCAACTCGCACGCACAATAGGCCTTACTAAGGACTTCTGCACTGTATCGTATGTTTTACAGTCAATTTACAAACAAAGATCACCCTTTGTTTAAATGACAATCAAATGGATGGTCATCAGCTGACGCCGAATTCATTTATAAGGCAATCATCCGAAATTCAAAAGCATATTGTTAAAAGGCTCGAGCAATGCAAGTATCATACAAAGTATTGCGGAAGATTTCGATCAGTGTAGACGAAACTTTGCGGAACCCTTAACTTACTTACACGAGAAAATCTTCTTGGACTTGAAGAAAACAAAGGGGATCAAAAGTGTCCAGTTTCCCCAACTCGTTTTTTGTTTACTTGGACTTGGTTGTGTTGGTTGTGTTCCAGAGCAGAGACTGTGGTCAAATATGAAACTAAAGTTGATTATGTGATGTTCTTGAATTTTAATACTCAGGTTGCTCTCTTTTAATGGTTACATTACAAAAATTGAGAGCTAATCATTCCTCAGTAACTATCAAATGGAGAACTGGTTCTGCTCTTAGTGAAAACAGAATGAAGTCTCACTTAAAATATATGAAAGTGAGAGAGTTTCTGTTGTTGTGTTTTTTTTTTGATTCAAAAATTGGATTGTAAGGACTTTTACCAATGCACTTGGGGGTTATAATTTAAGATTTTGTCATGGGATTTCAGGTACGAAAACTATCAGATTAATTCTCATAAATAGATTTATTCAACAAAATCGTTCAACATAATCGGCGGTTGTTGGTTTATGTATGTACACATCGGTCACTTCCTCTACCACCCTACCTGAGTGCTGGAAAAGCATCTTCACTGTATTTACCAAGCGTAGTGCGCGCTGGCATCCTGGAAACTAACATGGGAAACCGAAGCTTCTGGTGCATAGCTCACGGTCTTGGCGGCAACAACTGGGGCAGCATGAGCATACACGGACTGGGCGGCAACAGTCTTGACATAGGTTGGCTGCTGTACAATGGTCTTAGTGTAGACTGGCTCGGAGGCATAGGTCTTGGCGTAGACTGGCTCGGAGGCATAGGTCTTGGCGTAGACTGGCTCGGAGGCATAGGTCTTGGCATAGACTGGCTCGGAGGCATAGGTCTTGGCGTAGACGGGTTCGGATACGTAGGTCTTGGCAACTGGGGCACTGTACACGGTCTTGGCAGCATGATACACTGGCTCAGCGGCATAGGTCTTGACAACGGCTGGCTGCTGGTGCACATAGGTCTTGGCGTAGCTAGGCTGGGAAACAATAGTCTTGGTGTAGGATGGCTCATGAACCTGGTATCCCTTGCTGACGTACTGGACCGATGGTTGGGCATAGGTGACGGCCTTGGTGACTGGGGCGGCGTAATGCACAGCTGGCTGGGCATAGTGCTCAGCTGGCTGAGCGTAGTGCACAGCAGGTTGGGCATAGGCTAGGGTCTTGGTAACTGGAGCAGCATAGTGGACAGCTGGTGCAGTGTACGATACGGTCTTAGTAACTGGGGCAGCGTAGTGAACAGCCGGTTCAGCGTAGGTTACGGTCTTGGCAACCTTTGCCGGGTGGTGCTCACGGGTGATCGAGCTGTAGCTGACGGCCGAAGCTGGGGAGTAGTGGGCCGAATGGTGATCAGCTTCAATGTAGCCAGCGCTGGCACAGGCCAGGGTGGCAAACAGGGCAACCATCTGTTAATTGGAGAAAAACAATGTTATTGAGTTTCCCAAATTGGTTAGGTACCAATTCGTTCCAGATTAGTACAATGTTTTACGAATGACTGATTGATTGACAAATCTGCTCTTAAAGTATTCGTTTGTTTTCAATTGCACACACTTTTGTAAAAAGGAAAATTAAGCAAGAGGGCTGTATCCAACAGCACATCTCCTTCACTTTTCCTAGATCTTCTTTCGGCGTGTACACTTTTTTATTTGTATTCTTAAATTTCAGAACAGTCCATTTTTGAAAACTTCACGGATCTTCAAGCTCTTCAAATCGAACACACTGCACTAATCTCCTGTAGTTCCAAATATGTTGTCGAGTTCTCACCTTAAACGCCATTATGTCGAAGTAAACTTGCACTTAGGATGCGTGCAACGAAACGATTTAGTCGAATTAAAGTGAACTGAAGCAATGATACAGTTCAGCCGGTTGGGTCCAATATTTATATGAAAAATCTAAACACTTGGGCCGCTCTCCGCTCCATTCCAGCAACGATGATGACGCGTACCGGCAGAACCGAAGAAGAGAGATGACCTTGTGGATCCGCGCACTGGCTACGACCAACGTGGGTACGGTCGATGGTGTGCAGCAGCAGAAGCAGAAAAAAAAAAAATAAATAAATACAAACTATCACACAGGCTAGCAATAAATCGCACTCCCCACGAATGGTGCGACTCGGAACAACCGGACGACAAGATCGGTGGTTGATGGGACATGATGCTGTTGATTCGATTTTGTTTTCGCTCGGATGATTTCGCGAAGGGGTTGATCAACCCAAGGCGCTACATATCTTGAGGATGGATTGTAGGCTGTAACAGCGAGAGGAAAGAGGGAGGTGAGCAACAAAGACAAACTTGAGATTTATGTGCGAAAGGCCGAAATTGTAATGAGACGATGGTTGACGGATCTGATTCGCGAGCGCAATCCGTTCGTATCCGCAAGGGTGAGTAGTTGCGCTGTCGTGAATGGAAGGAGATGTAATTTTTTTGTGAAGGCAGTTTTGGAGTCGAGGCAAAAGTTTGCTTATGGAAGTATTGGTTTTAAGAAGGTTTCTAGAAAGAGAATGATTTGTCGGAAGTTTGGACGTCTTCAGGGTGGTACATATTTAGTACATGAGAGATAGATAGATAGTTCCGTTATATTCCAATATTTGAAAATGCTCACCCTCGACGTATAATTCCTGAATTCAAATCAAGTAGTTGAAAGCTGTTGGATGATCTGGAATCTGGAATATTTTTCTTAGTACAAGAGCTTTAAAACATTTTTAATTCGAAGTCTTTTTTTGCTTTTTTAGAGAGATTTTTAGCCTTGCGCTGGTTCGTCTCTTGAAAACGAGAGTGATTTTTCCTTTAATGCTACCGACTGTCGTTTTGAATAATCGTGGTCATGTGGTAAAGTTCTGTATCCTATTCCTCTTCAGTCACTGTGTTTAGTTTTAGTACCGTCATTCGTCCATTGCCGTGTCCTTGTACATGCTCTGCTTGGTTGGATATCTTCGTTTATCCGTTTCTGAATTAGTAGCCGTTCACGAGGTAAAATTTTTAGTCCTGATATTGGTCCAAACCATTGTCCGTTGTAGTTGCTTGGGTGTTCATAGATCAAATTTGGTTAATCAGACCTGAGAACCCGTATAGGGAAAGGAGCCCGTACTACTGGGGGCATTCGCATAAGAAATGCTCCTCTGTAAGTGGAACATTGCATGTACTGCACTGCCTTCTAAATCTGCCCCCTTATCCTATGTTGTGGGAGACTTTGGTATGGCCAGATCTGAACCAGGATAGAATGACTTGGAGTCGATGTTCAGGTGGATCATCCCATTTCCTGGTATCCCCTTTTACCTTCCGGATACATAAGTCTCGAGATCGCATACTATCGCAGCAGTTCCATATCGTGATTGTGATCCACTGCTTTATGTATTGGTTTGGGACCTTTCGGGTGTATAAGCTGGACGGTCTTGCGGATGCCTCTGATTCCACAGTTTCCGGGGACCCAGATAAAGGTTGTTTCCTTAGGAGCGAACTGCTGGATGCCCTGGATCCAGAGGCGTTTAGCTGTTTCAGCCTCCGCACATGAAATGACAAGATTAGTCTTGTGTTAGTTAGTGTTGTTATATTCCAGTACTTTTTTTTATAATGCGTTTATTTTTCCAGGCTCATTTGCCGTAGCTTTGCGGAGCCGATATCCATCGTTTGGGATACAAAATTACTTAAAACTACTTTAGTAAAGCGGGGGCTGGCAGCCCTAAGTATGCACCTTTAGAATTGATAAAACGATCCATAAAATATAGAAAAACGTTCCATTAAAAACATCCAAATGATCCATAAAACATCGGAGAAAATCCCTAAAAAAGTGAGGATGATCCATAAAAAATATCAATATTATCAATATTTTATCTGAAATTTAGCAACACAATTATAAAAATGTACCGTCAAAAAAATGAGCATTGAAATTGTACGAATTATCCATAAACAGATTGCAATTGATCCATAAAACATTCAGCAATGAAGCTTAAACTAAAGAAAGTGATCCATAAAAAATCAAGTTTGCGCCCTTAAAAATATAGACATGATCCATAAACTAGACGTATATTATCCATGTTTAGGACACTTTTTTTAAATTTTGTATAATTGCTCCACTGCATATCTACTTAGACTTACTGTCCTGCCCGTGAATTTCAGGTAGATGTGCGAAGCGACGGGCAAGCGTCTAGAATTAGCTTCCAAAAGAAGATTCTATAATAATATTCTCAAGAAGCTTCGTATGGAAGCTTCATTTAGAAATCTTGTAAAGAAGCTTATTCTAGACGCTCGCCCATCGTTCCGCTCTTCTGACAAAAAAAAAAAAACACGGGCAGAACAGTAAACCTGAGTAGCTACGCAGTAATGTAGCAATTTTCCAAGGTTTATTGATCAAATTAAAAAAGGGTCCAAAACATGAAAAACATCTGTATATCCCATATACTATAATTGGAACACACCATAATAGGAACGTCTACCAATAACTGGAACACATACCCTAGGTATGAACCAAAAAAAAATTAACATTTATTTTTCATATTTTCTAAAGAAGATTATTATAGAAGCTTCTTTTGGAAGCTAATTCTAGACACTTGATCATCACTCCGCACCTCTACCTAAAAAAATCTAAGTAGTTACGCAGTAATGGAGCAATTTTTCATGGTTTATGGATCAAAATTAATAATATAGTGTCCAAAACGTGAATAATATACGTCTAATTTATGGATCATGGCTGTTCAGTATATCGGGATAACCCTGGATGTTTTTTATGGAACGTTTTCCAATATTTTATGGATCATTTATTGGTTTTTATATTCAAAAATATATTTGCCGCGGCTATCTCGAGGTTATGGGTAACAAATTGTAACAAACGGATGGCAGGGTAGGGATTGAGAACACAAGGTTTTTTCGAGCAATCTGCTCTTGATCTCGAACTAAGCGACATACTGATGAAAAAGACAAACATGGGGGTACACCAATGGGCAGCTAACAACTTGGGAGAACACAAGAAGACAATAACTACTAAATCCGTTTTAAAAACACATAAATTAATTTTAAATAGTCGAGATCTTGGATCACCAAGATATCTCTAACGGGCAAAGGTTGTGTTCCTCGGGCCCTGAGGGATGCGGATAACTCGGATCTAGCAACACAATGGAGGGTGCATGACCAAAGCAGGTGGTCGATCTCGTGATAGCCACTACCACAAGCGCACACATTGCTGCCTGCGAGCCCGATTCGGAAGAAATGCGAGTCTAACGAGTAGTGATTGGACATGAGCCTTGACATGACACGTATAAAGTCACGGCTCATGTCCAATCCTTTAAACCACGGTTGAAGAATAGAATGTAACCATCTTTCCAGATCACTTCCATTCCATTTTTTTTACCAGTTGGTGAGTACTTGCTGACGGGTAATTGAGAAAAATTCCGCAAAGGCGATTTGTCGATCAAAAATATCGCCTTCCATAGCGCCCACTTTAGCCAACGAGTCCGCTTTCTCGTTACCCGGATTAGAGCAATGAGATGGGACCCACACTAAAGTGATGGTATAGGAGCAGTTAGATAAAGTACTCAATTTGGCTCGGATTTCGGTCAGGAAAAACGAAGAGTACGAATAGCCTCCAACGAGCTGAGGCTATCCGTAAAAATGAAATAGTGATTAGAGGGTAGTGAGGAAATTTGCTCAACTGCGTAGAATATGTCTACCAGTTCCGCAACTGGCAAACCTGTCAGTGGGAGAACTAGCAATGGGCGATCTTGGATCGAAACATAAGAGATCGATTCTTTTGGTTCGATTAATCGATTTTTTAATCGATCTCAAGCACGACAAAAATCGACTGTATCGATGCTTTTCATTCGATTTCTGTTTCGATAAAAAAAAAATGTCAGTGCATTTGCATTTGCAATTTAATATTGACCTATACCTGTAGTCTTCAGCTCACGCTGGCGCAGTTAAATTTGGGTTCGGTTTACTTTTCGGTCATCAAAACAAAACTTTATTTTTCTCGGATCGGTGCGAATGTTACTTTCGACATAATGAAAATTTGCTCCTGATATGCACACATCTTTCCCCCCTCCAAAACCAACCGGAGGCCTGTGGGATTTTTTATGACGAAATGGTAAAGAATGTTATTAATATACATAGGGGAAATTTAGGACGGTACTAATTGATATTCCTGGTCGCTATTGAAAATTTAGTCGATGGCTGAATTTATGCATGGGCCCAAATTAGGAGCATTTAGGCCGACATTGCATCCATTTCCCCTATCTACAAACATTCACTTCTTATGAAATATTTCAGGTTCATCAGTTCTCTATGTCAGAACTGGATCACCACGGAGGCATATCGGCAGAATTGAAATTTTTTTTGCATCAGCCTGTTTTCCCATGTTCTGTCGATCCTTTTCAAGCATGGGAGAAAATCCGTAGTGAATATCCCCATTGCTCGAGACTATCTATGAAAAATGGTAACAAGTGTTCCGTTAGAGAGGCTATTCTCGAAGACTACAAATCAAGAAGACTGGCAACTATTCCATTCTCCCATACAAATGTCAAACGTCACTGATAACAGTGCCTCTGACAATCAAAGGTGAAACTTTGAAGCACAAGTGTTAGTGAGACTGCTCATTAACAGTGACTGTGTGTGTGTGTGACCTAATGTCACCAAAACGAATAATCATAACACAGTACTCGTTGTTGTTTTGGTTTTGCTCTACAAAATTTCACGGCAATTTGTATCCTAATCACAGCAAGCCGGTGGTTTTCCAACTCCAAACCGAAAAACTCGTCATGGTGGATCAAGTAGAGGATTGAAACTCGGATCGATACCTAGGAATTGACGGCTTCCACCTCCGTTGAGTGAGCTACCGTCATTCGAAAACTGCTGAAAAT